TTTAGGGTTTGGGGTTTCGGGTTGACAGTTTAGGAGCCGTCAAAGGGCTCCTGGAAGGATTGCTATCATTTGTCAGGCCCTTTGACGGGTTCCTTTAAGGGTACGACGTTTAAAAGGAGCCAGCAAGGTTCCTCTTCGGATTTGGCCACAAACTCCTCTAGGGGTTCTATGAGGGTTTGTTTCAGAGCTTCTTTCAGNNTTCAGGGTTCCTTCCTTTAAGGGTTCTATAAGGGGATTCCGTAAGGGCTCCTTCAAGGGCTCCTGGAAGAAGGCTGCAGAAGGTCAAAAAAAAGCGAAATCCTACTTTGGGGGGCCTTGACAATCAGAATAGGTGTCTCCAGGCCCAAAGCCGTAGTAAAATCATGTATAGCATAATTCTGTAGGGCTGAAAAGGGAATAAGACTGACAAGTCTTCAGGCCCCTGTAGTACGGTGCAGCTTAAGGGGTATCCTCCAGCTTTTAGGGACAAATGATAAGTTGTTGGAGTTAACCCAAAGGGTCCAAGTTATAGCATAGTATATACATTTTGGGCCCAAATACCTACAAAGCAGCTATACCATATTAATACTTGGACCCTCCGGGTAAACTGTGGTCACTCTAGTACAATTCTTTGATAGCCGCTTTCGATTCGTAGAGCGTCTCACCGCACGCTCGGCCTGTCGGCCCCACCGGCGCCGCGCCCCCCCTCTCGTCACCTTCGTCGGTCGCAGTCTCGCTGGTCCATCGCGCGATCCTGGACTGCTTTCGGCCTTAGGGTTTAGGGTTTAGGGTTTAGGGTTTGATAACTCGGTCGAAGATTCCAGCAAGATCTGCTCGTGTTGCGTCAGTTCGGCTTGACGAGTCCACGGAAAAAGAAGTGGACAGACTCGCGAAGGTCTTCTCCCGCTCGACCTTCGGCTGGAGCAGGCCGGTTCGCTCAAATCTACCAAACTGACACGGATGGCCAGTTATGCCAGTTATGCTGAAACCTGAATCATTGCAACTCTGGCAGGCCGAACCCCCAAAAGACCATAATTTGCCGTTCAATCGGGTGAAAACTTGGGAAAAAACAAATTTGTCGGGAACGACGGTGGTGTCAGCACTCCCAAACTACGAACCTCTGAGGGTCACAAAAAAACACGCAGCTGCACGAAGACTAGCATCGGGATCCGGAAACGCAGGGAGAAGTAGTATAAGTAGAAGCATCTAACCCCACTTCATCGAATCTTGGAATGTCTAAGCGAGAGACTCAACCCTGAAGCCAAGAACGCCACTCAGATTACTGCCGTGTAACATCCTGAGCATGGAGTGGTCTTGGAATGGGCCTAACACCCTCAAACCAAGATAATCCTCCCTAAACCCTAAACCCTAAACCCTAAACCCTAAACCCTAAACCCTAAACCCTAAACCCTTAATCGTAAGCCCCAAACCCTGCTTGAGCCCCATGCCATGTTGCGGACCATCCCAACGAAGAAGTAGACAGCCCCGCGCGGTCCGCTACCTGAGGGAAGAGAGAGAGAGAGAGGTTTAGGGTTTTAGGGTCTCAAGGTTTCAAGGAAAAGTTGGACTTGGTTCGAGTTCGAGATATGGTGCTTCACCAAGGTTCCTGCTCTCTTGGTGAACGGCATGTTCGAAATCGATGCTACAGTAACCATTTGGGTTCATGTGCTACGCGGTAACCCCATGCTTTCAATGTTCACAGCACCTGAAGCTGCATTGTCGGGTTTCACACAAGCCGAGTACGAAGTCATTGATGTCCCTGATGGTCCGTTTAGTGCAACGGTTTAGGGGTTTAGGGTTTAGGACTCAGTGGCCGCGTCAACGCAAACGGCATGAAGACATCACTTTGGATCGGCTGATTCGGCTAGGCGCCACACCAGGGTGCAAAGCATGAAAGTTTGACTCCACAACGAGTACACCGGTTTGCAAAGCAAGGATTGATGCCCAAATCAAGGTTGAAAAGATCCCTGGTTTGTGAACAATGAACACTCAGGAAACTGTGGGCTCTCTTGAAAGCACATCGCTGCTATTGTCAGTAAGGCTCCGGCTTGAGGATTTAGCAGGCTTGGGGCGCCATTTGTTCAAAGACACCCCCAGATCCCAATCCGTCCAGTCCGTTTAGAAATATTCTCGAAAGGCCCCATATCAGGCCCTCTAGTCTACGGATGTCTATAGTCACAGTAGGCCCTGAGTCAAGATAACCCTAGACCCTAAACCCCTAAACCCTAACCCCTAAACCCCTAAACCCCTAAACCCTAAAACCCCTAAAACCCTAAACCCTAAAACCCCTAAACCCTAAACCCCCAAAGCCTAAAACTCTAAAAGCCCCAAAACCCCCAAAGCCTAAAACCCTAAACCCCTAAAACGCTTAAATCGTGAGGGCAGGGGTCACTCTGCAAGGCGTGGCTCATGAGACGAGCCGAGTTTTCGGGATTTGGGGTGAGCCCCAGGTCGAAGATCTGAGACGTCCGGTTTTGGGTTTATAGGGTTTTACGGGTTTGTAGGGCTTTAGGATTCAGTTTAGGGTTTAGGGTTTAGGGTTTATAGGGTTTAGGGTTTATAGGCTTTAGGGTTTAGGGGTTTGGGGGTTTGGGGTTCAGGGTTTAGGGTTCAGGGTTCAGGGTTTACCTGTGACCCCAAACCCTGCAAAATAGTAGGCTATGACCCCTTAATTAGAGGTAAAGCCTTAAACACGGTGAGGTTTTTGATCCCCAGGTAGGGCTTAGGGTGTGCAGTCTGCTGAGACCCACTTGCTCCATAACCCTAGACCCCAAACCCCTGGGCAATGCAGGGTTCATATCATCAACCGTAGTTCTCTCAGTTCGAGTCCCTTTAAGGGTCCTGTTTGTAAGGGTGCCGTATTATTTGGGGGACCTAAAAAGTGACCCAGTCGCGTCCCGCTTTTATTAAGCACCCGTAATAATAAACAACACTTTGGGACCAGTCCTCCCGAAATCATCCCTGCCCTTCAAAACCTAATTTGCATTATATAGGGGGTCAGGAGCAACAGCAGGAGTAAGAGCAAAAACAAGAGCAAGAGTAAGAGCAAAAAGAAGCGGCAGCGCAGAAGCAATAGCAAGAGCAAAAGCAAGCGAAGGAGCGAATGCAGCAGGAGCAGGAGCAAGAGCCAGAGCAGGAGCCAGAGCTAGATCCCTCAAAAGTGACAGCAGGCATAAAACTACACCCTAACAATAAAAACAATTTCCGAGTTTTTATTGGGGAGGAGGGTAGGGTGGTTCCCCCTCCCGTTCAAATTTACGGGAAAAGGATTCATTCAGAGAACTACCCACATGGGCAAAAATAGGAGAGGGATATCCTGTATAGACCACCGTACAATGAGGTCCAAGAAGGTAGGGAGATCCCTGTAAAATGCCTCTATGCTTATGTTTTGTTGGGTCCCCAACTGAAAACTGCCTAAACCTTAAACCCTAAACCCTAAGCCCCAAACCCTAAACCTCAGCCCTAAACCTAAATCCTAAGCCCTCAACCCTAAACCCTAAGCCCCTAAGCCCTAAACCCTAAGCCCTAAACCCAAACCCAAAGCCCCTAAAACTAAAACGCAAAGAAACTAAAACGCAAAGAAACTAAAACGCAAAGAAACTGGGCTTCCAGGCTGGCCGGGGCCCAGGAGGCATCGGTCAGGAACTTCCTGCACCCGGCCCCTTGGGAGCTAGGATTAGGGGGACCCTTGGGGATATAGACCCTCTCAATACGGTCCCTTTTAAGAGAGCCAAAAGTAGGGCTCAGAAGGGGTGCCCTTTAAGGGGTACCCCTAATTGTGCTACCTAACTCTGTTGAAGTTCCCCAGCTGGGACTTCCATGTAGTGGCCTTGATAATTAGAATAATTAGGGCTGTGGGGGTGCCTTATTATAACCACAGTATAGTATACCCCAAAGCCCTATCACAATCAGCAAATAGCCCCGATATTAAACGCAGAAGGGTCTAGGATTTCGAGTTTCAGGATCCAGCGTGCGCGGCTTAAGCGTGGCAACTATGAGCTTTCGAACATGGCGAGGACAAGAACAAGTGCAAGTGATGTGCGTAAAGTAAGACAGATGATGGCACGGGGCATCAACCCGCTGCCGACGCTCCGCGTGCTCCTGTGTTCAAGGCCTTCGGAGGGCTTGGGCTTGGAACAATTCAAAAAACGATGAAGTATCAACCATCCGAATGTCCAAAGCCTGGAGCCCTAGTTTAACCCCCCTGCCCCCGGAGTGAGTTCCAATAATTTGCCCGTCCTCGCCCAGTTTCGCACCTGCAGCATGGACAGCTTTCCAGGAAGCCAGCATACTCCCATCATTGCCCCAGTGAAATCACGAAGGGACCCTCAATATCTTGTACATGCTACCATATCTTGGCTGACTCCTGAACCCCTCCCAAAAATTAAAAACTTTCAGCCTATAACTTATGATAGTTCATACAGAAACCCCGAAAGTTATTAAAGTCCTGAGCCCAGCCAGAACAACGCCAAGATATACTACTGGACTAAGTGGTATATTTCTGCCGTCTCGAAGTCCTAAACCCTAAACCCTAAAAAACCATGGGCCCGAAAGAAGGGAGGACTGAAGCTGATGCGCACAAAATGGGAGTCTCAGGGGCTTTGAGGCTTGCGAATCAGATGGACGGGGCGCTGTTACCGTAGGGGCCTTAATAATTAGAATGGGGTTTTGAGGCCATCATACTATAATTATAATAAGGAACCCAATAGCATTGGTAATAATTTAGGCCCCCAGAGTACGTGAGGATGTAGGGATAGAGATTAGAAGCTTATAGTGTATTTCTCAAGTAGGGACATGGGTCCCACAGGTCTTGTGACAGCATGCAGATGGCACGCGTCACAGTACAAACAGGTCTGGTGCATGGTGACATCCAGGACTTGTTTTCAAGCAGTTGGTGGTCTGTCTGAAGCCGCGGGTTTGGAAATTTGCGGTTGAAGTCGTCCAGGTTCAAAGACATCGCGCTGACAAGCCTAGAAAGCTGACCTCGAGACTTGAGCACCTGCAAGCGATGTTCTAGCCGAGCCAAGCGATAGCTCCAGAGTCGAGGTGCTCGCGCCAGCAACTTCACCACATCTGCTCCGAGGAAGAAACAATGAAGTAAATTATGTTTTAGTTTTAAATTCGCCTCTATGCTCAAACCAAGTACCTGGGGGAATGAAGCGATCACCGAGGCAATCTGTGACTGGCTCAAGCCTAACCCCTTGATCCACTTGACTTTCGGATTCAGATTTGCATCAGTGCTCAGGCCAAGCACCTGGGGAAATGTTGCGATCACTTTGGCAACCTGCGACTTGCTCAGACCCAAGCCCTTGATCCATTCGACTGTTGGCTTCAGGTTTGCCTCAATGCTGTAGCCAAGCAGCTGGGGATGTAAGGAGATCAATTTGGAAAGCTGTGGCTGACTCAGACCCAAGCCCTTGATCCACTCAACTGTTGGCTTCAGATTTGCCTCAATGCTCAAGCCAAGCACTTGCGGACGTACGAGAATCACCTTGGCAACCTGCGACTGGCTCAGGCCCACCCCCTTGATCCACTCAACTGTTGGCTTCAGATTTGCCTCAGTGCTCATGCCAAGCACTTGCGGATACACGAGAATCACCTTGGCAACCTGCGACTGGCTCAGGCCCACCCCCTTGATCCACTCAACTGTTGGCTTCAGATTTGCCTCAATGCTCAAGCCAAGCACTTACGGACGCTGCAAGATCACCTTGACAACCTGCGACTGGCTAAGGCCCAGCCCTTTAACCCATGCGACTGTTGGCATCAGATTCG